CAGTGCAGACAAAATGGAAGGAAGAGGGACAGGTAAGAAAGAGTAGTGTTACTTAAGGAGAGGAGGACAACTTTTATAAGAAAATCTTGGAAATTCTCAGGGTTTGGAGGTCTTTTCTAAAGAATGACCCGTCACTTCCCTGTATTTGTCATTGTTTCCCACTGTACACATGTTTCCAACACATGGGAAGTGGGAGGAGCTGGAATGTCCTCCAAGTTCCCCTGACACCCTATTCCCACCTTTATCCTCTAGAAAAAATCTTTGTTTTTTTAACTTTTGAGGAGATCTGATAGAATTCAATGAAGAATCTGATAGCCCAGCTGGTATGGCTCAGTGGTTGAGCGTGGACCATGCAGCAAGAAGTCACCAGTTCAATTCCTGGTCAGGGCACATGCCCGGGTTGCGGGCTTGATCCCCAGTAGGGGGTGTGCAGGAAGCAGCCAATCCATGTTGATGTTTCTCTCTCATGGAGGTTTCATCTCTCTCTCCCTCTCCCTTCCTCTCTCTCACTAAAATCAACAACAAAAAAATATATTTTAAAAAAAGAATCTGATAAAGATTATGAACCCTGTTCCAGAAGAAATGCAGCCACACCTACACATACATATATAATTTTACACACAATTTCATTGGTTTGTCCACCCCTGAATTTGCCACGGACTTCCTTGGGGATTGATGGACCCCAGGTTAAGAAATCCTGCTTTTGTGTTGGTTGCTTTCAACAAGTTTAAATTTATCTTCTCTTGGTTTTCCATAGATGTAAGCTCTAAAATTCCCATACGACTTTTAATGGGACCTCTAGTGTCCCCTTATCCAACTGCTGGGCTCAATTCTAGACTGGCTTTCTAAGACCCTATAGGCTTCTTAGATTTTGGGACACTGAATGGGAAAAGGCTGCATGCTCTAAGAGGGAGCAACACAAAGGTGGACTGCTTCAAGGCTAGGTTCTTTGGGTAGCTGGTGTGAGGTGAAAGGAACCAAGAGAGAGGCTTAGGAACAGAGTCCACTGGAGAGTGAAGAGTCCCTCCTGACAGTACTATTTTTGTAAGTTTCCATCCTAAGAACTGTGGGCCTGCAGACCTGTAGTCCTTAAAATGGAAAGCTGCTCTCATCTCTGGGAAGGATCTCCCAGCTCCACCTATCCTCCCACCTACCCACTGGGGCAGCTCTCCTTTTACCTTCAGATCCTGTGTGAGGACACCTTTTCCTAGAGCTCATCTTCTTGCTGAGGCAGCCCGCTCAGCCTGCTCAATGCTGCGAGTCCCTGAGTGATTGAACCCAAATCAGGGAGGTTTTTCCCATGCACACAAGGCATAGTTCTGAATCTAAAAGCTCAGTGGTTATTTACCAATTTGAGTCCAAGCTCAGTTGTCCCAAGAGCATCTATCCTTACACTTAGTTTGCACCCAATATGTGCCCTGAGATGAATGAGTGTAGCAGGTCTGGAGGGGCTCAGGGGAAAGAACACCAACAGCTCCGCAGTGACAGTCCAGGCTGCCAGGCTTGGCCAGAGAGGCCACAGTTTGTATCAGGCAAGGGAGGTAAATTCCCCAAATACCAGGATGTTGGGCAATATTTCAAAGAATGAAATTCATTGCTATTACAGCCCTTCCTCTACCCCCGTCCTGAACTCTATGTTTCATCCTTTTCCTCTACAACAGTGGTTCTCAACCTTCTGGCCCTTTAAATACAGTTTCTCATGTTGTGACTCAACCATAAAATTATTTTCGTTGCTACTTCATAACTGTAATGTTGCTACTGTTATGAATCATAATGTAAATATCTGATATGCAGGATGGTCTTAGGCGACCCCTGTGAAAGGGTCGTTCGACCGCCAAAGGGGTTGCGACTCATAGGTTGAGAACCGCTGCTCTACAATGTACTACGCAAATGATTCATTGTTCTCTATCATTTTACCTTGCTGGGCTCAATTCTAGACTGGCTTTCTAAGACCCTAAAATTATAGTTGTCTAGATATTTTTACAGGTTGTATAAGAGTATGAGCAGTTCAAAGGAGGATTGAAGGGGAGGCCATACATATTCAAATTCTTCTATCTAATTATTCTTTTCTTTTCTTTATTTTTTATTTTTTGGTGATTTTAATGCCATTATTTTTTTTTATTTACTTAAATTAAATTTATTGGGGTTACATTGGCTACTAACTTATTGTCTGATTTTTGAAATTGCCTTATCCAAGAAATATTTTTGGAACTCTAATTAGGTTAGGATACTAGGATTTGGGGGACATGGGGGAGCATAAATATGTACTAGGATATAGAACAATATATGAATAAATATGATTTGAATTATGCTTTCAATAACTTGCTGTATAGTGGAGGAAATAAGATGTATAAGTAAACCACAATAAAATATCATATACTGGTAGTTTCACTTATATGTGGACTCTAAAGAACAAAATAAACAAACAAAATTGAAGCAGATTGCCCTAGCCAGTTTCTCAGTGGTTAGAGCATCGGCCTGTGGACTGAAGGGTCCCAGGTTTGATTCCAGTCAAGGGCACATACCTTGGTTGCAGGTTCCCCAGCCTGGTTGGGCTGCATTCGGGAGGTAACCAATCAATGTGTCTCTCTCATATTGATGTTTCTCTCTGTCTCTCCCTCTCCCTCCCACTCTCTCTAAAAATCAATGGAAAAATATCCTTGGGTGAGGATTAACAAAACAAAATTGAAGCAGATTCATAGACAAAAAGAACAGATTGATAGTTGCCAGAGGGAAGTTGGGGGGCTGGGTGAAAAGGTGAAAAGATTAAGAAGTACATATTGATAGTTACAAAATAGTCACAGGGATGTAAAATACAGCATATGGAATATAGTCAAAATATTCTAATAACTATGTATGGTGCCAGGTGGGTACTGAAAATATTGGGGGTCACTTTGTAAAGTATATGATTATCTAAATACTATGCTGTATACCTGAATAATACAAAATAATATTGAATATGAACTCTAATTAAAAAATAAAATTGAAAAAAGAAAAGTAAAAAAACCTCAAAATATATATATGGATATATATATGTATACACAATATATGGACATATATATATATACATATATGTATACACAACACACAATCACTAACTTGATAAATATCGAGAGAAATTCTGAGGGAAGCTGGAAGCTGGTACATTTGGAGACAGGATGAGTTTGTCCTCAAGACAGAACATTTGCAGTTCTAGGCAATGTTTGGGACTCCCTGGTCCTGGTAAGCATTAACCTGAAGTCACTAATATTTCTGGGCCTGTCCTTTTTTGTTGTTGTTGTTAATCCTCACCCAAGGATATTTTTCCATTGATTTTTAGGGAGAGTGAAAGAGGGAGAGAAAGACAGAGAGAAACATTGATATGAGAGAAACACATTGATTGGCTGTCTCCTGCATGAGCCCTGATCAGGATCCGGACTGGGGAAGAGCCTGCAACCAAGGTACATACCCTTGACTGGAATTGAACCCGGGACCCTTTGGTCTGCAGGCCAACGCTCTATCCACTGAGCCAAACCGGCTAAGGCAAGGACCTGTTCTTAATGTCCATGGTGTGAAGAGGCCTTCCTAATGATCAGCTACATGCCTCCGTGGTAACGGAGGAAGAACTGGGTTAGCAAGAAGGCAGTGAGAGTAAGAGGTAATACACAGCAGTATTTGGGCCCTGGACTCCTGGTCTCCTTTCTTAATTCTGTCACCCCAGAACTAAGAAAAACCTTGGACAATCCCTTCTCCTTTCTGCTGCAGGGCCTGTTAACTATGGCATCCCTGAATACTGATTGAGTACTTACACCTATGTCTGCCTCCTACCTGCAAGGCAAGGATGTACTAAATGCTGCAGGGGTTGTGGGGAAGGATGAGACAGGTGCCTGCCTTCAAAGAGTTTCATTCTACTGAAACAGAAAAGGTGAAACTCAGGAAAAATATGACACATGATTAAGATATGAACAATGGGGTCAGACTGTCTAACTCAAATACTGACATTGGGCAATATTGAACCTGTCTGCATCTTGGTTGCTTTATCTGTATAGTAGGATTAATAACAACCTTACCTTATAGGAATACTACTATTAAGGCATCAGATAGCTTAGGTAAGTTTTTAGTACAGTACTGGCACATAGCAAGGACTCCAAATTGTTTACTTATCATCATCATTATCATCATCATTATTTAGTTAAATATTAACATCAGACCTGAAAAGGAACATATGACAATAGGGATTTTTTCAGGCCATCCCCTTAGAGCAGTGGTTCTCAACCTTGGCTGCACATTAGAATCCCCTGGGAATCTTTTTAAAATCCTGATTTCTGGGCCTCATCCTCTGGAAATTCTGTTTCTTTGTTACTAATGTTGTGCCCCCACCCCATAACAAAGAAACAGAATTCTAATGTGCAGCCAAGGTTGAGAACCACTGCCTAAGAGTTTAAGCTTCTTGATAGATGATCTGTCCCCAATGCCCCCACCCCTGTGCCTTGTAATCAAACAGATACTCGAATATTTTTGGGAACTATAATTAAGCACATTTCTTATTTCCAAATAAATGGAATAAGTAATTAGGAAACTTAGGACAGTGAGGCTGGTGGTGTGAGCTGGACAGTCAGGGAAGGCTTCATGGAGAAGTGTGGAGAGCGGCTACAGTGCTTGGACAGGTTCAAGCCTGGGACTAATGAGCTATAGTTGTAAGCTTGACCTTATGGTCCAAACCTGTGGTCTCACGTGGCTCTGAGTGATATGAGCTTCGGGAGGTGCAGCAAGTAAACAAAGCTTGGTCAGGTGCATGTAATTGAGTAGATAACCCATGAGAACATTGTAAACATCTTGACCACGCCCTTACTTTGTCTCGTGGAATCTAGCTATAAAATAAAGACTAGGCTTGCAGGCTGTGGCACTGTCTCTCTAATCAGAGGGCAGCATCCCACCTAGCCCCAGCTTTATTCTCTTGTCTGTCTTTTCTAATCTTTCACCGTCCCCCCACTCCCTCACCCCCCCCACCCCCCTTGCCTCAGGTTCACCCATGGCTGTGCTGGTGCAGCACAGAGAAGGTAAGATTAAGTGGACCTGATAGATTTGGGTAGGATTTGGATGCATAAGACAAAGCAAGGAGGACTCTGATCATAAAAGCCTAGAATGGGCTGGGGGTTCAAGAGAAGTGGAGGCAACTTGCTGGGCACAGCCATAGAATGCCACAGGCACACTAAAGATGGCACCACTGTGCCCAGAGCATGGGCTCTGAGTGTGGGCCAGGCCTGGAGGTGGAGCCAGAATCACCTGGGGCAGATTTCTGGAGCCCATCAGGTGCTCAAGAGACCCTTGCCAAAATCCCAGTTGGCCAGGTCAAGTCCTTCCACACCCTGGGCCAAACAGGAGGCCTCGGGTGTAAGGATTCGCCACAGGGACAGGCCAATCACTAAGGCAGGGAACTGCAGTCCAAAGATCAAGGCTGAGCATGTCAGAGGCCTGCATGATCCCTCCACAGCTTTCTTTGATCCTCAGGCTGCACTGATATGCTGTTCTGGGTGGAGAAGTGACCATGGGTCCCCAAGCCTCTGATAGACTCTGTGTCATGACAGTCTCCATAAAGGAAAGTAGTGTCTGGAATTCTTTTCCTTTTTGCATGTTCTCTGAGAATCTCTCTGCAAAGTCTCCCTTCCCCTCCCAGTGGGTAAGAGCATGTCTTTATTTTCCTCTCCATCTCCTCATAACGTCATGTACAGTAAGTGTTCAGCCCACAATGGGTGCTCTTCCTGTCGTAGTGCAGAATGACCAGCATAACATTAATAATAGCATTTCCTCATTTTACAGACAAGGAAAGAAAAAACATAACCACAATATTGTTCTATAATATATGCCAGTCCCTATCCTAATACACACTTTGCATGTATTAACTTATTTAATCCTCACAATAATCCTTTAAGGTAGATACCATTATTCAGGAACTTGCCCAAGTTCACACAATGAGCAAGCAGGTCACACAACTAGTAATGTGGGATTTGAACCTAGGTAGTCTGGCTCCATTGGCCATTGTGTGATGTTATCTGGATGGAAGTAGCATAGGTCTGATTAGGGGGAAAGTGGGTACACAATCCAGGAATCCTGTCTTCTAGGACTGTCTACGCAATGAACCTACTCAAGACTTCACCGACTGGCGAGGTGATGAAAACAAGACTCTTCAGTCCCTGCTGTCCCTAAGGCCCTACCTCAGTTCCTCCAAGATAACTCAGGTAACTCCAAGATAGCAGAGTGACATTTTACTAAACAGCCCCAGGCTCCTTCCTCAGGAGACAGGATGCAGTGGGGACCACCTGTCTGCAAGGCCATTTTAAAAAACATAGCAAAAACCTGAAAATAGAGTTTTTGAGAGAAAGTGATTTTCTAGTCATAATTATAGCCAGAGTGGGCCACTGCTTTCTAGAAGCAGGAAAACTGCTTCTAAATAGAGCCTGCAAAATGCAAATCCCCAAGGAGCACAGCCTCCACCCCATTGGGTCCCTCACTCAAAGACTAGGCTCAAGCTCCCTTCTGAGAGGCCCCAACTCAGCAGCACACCCCGCTGGCCAGACCCAAGTGTGTGAGGGAGGAAGATGCTCAGCTTTATGCCTAATGTTCTGGAGGGTAAAGAGCTGCTTAATAAATATGTGCAAGGATCAAGGGTATATTTGAAAACATTTAAAAATGCCTTCAACTGTTGAGTGAGGATGGGGTTAAGCTCTGGGGATCTGAGTGGGGTGGAGAAGGAGAGGCAAAATACAGAAGGGCTTGTGGGGGAGGACTGCTGAGTGCTATTTCTATTTCTAACCCAATGCCAGGCACTTGAGTATTGTTCTCCACCTAGCAATTTGAAGGCTGCAGTGGGTATGCATACAACAGAACAGGATGCTTCCTGGACAAAAGTTCTGAAAGAAAACCAAAACGGAAGACTGGCCCCCTCGCCCCCACTTGACAGTCTCTAATGACCCTCAGGGACTGTTCCGGACACGCATGGGCATCTGCGAATTTACTCACCTGGAGTTGCCTCTACCTCCTGAGCCCTGGGTCAGAAATGGGAAGTGCAAAGCCTCTCCGTGTGTTTGTGTGTGCATGTTATTTTTAATGATTATGATTCACAATCCTTTTTCTTGTTCCTCACGATTTTCAGTTAAGGGGGGAAACAAAGCCTCTCCGTGTGTTTGTGTGTGCATGTTATTTTAATGATTATGATTCACAATCCTTTTTCTTGCTCCTCAGGATTTTCAGTTAAGGGGGGAAATGGTGAAAACACACACACTCACACACACACACCAAGCAAAACACAAAGGTTTCTCAGAAATTTTACCTGAAACTCTGGGATGGCTGGAATTAGGTATGCAGATTTCTGCAACATCCCTTACGGGGCTGAACTTATTGTGCACCCTTTAAAATAAGAGGAGATTTTTCACTATTTTAAAATTATACCAGAAAAGCATGCAGATAAGAAGATAGCTAGATTGTGAGGAAGCCCAAAATATTTGGTAAGAATGCCCAAGTTTGGGAAAGTTTAGCTGAAATAACAATTTATGGGAAGAATATTAGCTGGGAATTGGCTGTAGAATTACCCATAGATTGAAGGGCTTTGGGGGGTAAGGGGAAGAATGAAGTTTGTACTCAGGATATGGAAAAGGATTCAGTAAAGCTAGGAGTCCTATGTGCTCAGAGTTTAATGTCCTAACCAGCCCCACAGTGTCTAAGGCATGACCAGTAAGTAGAACCAAGAGATTCCATTCAGCAAAAGCAGACAGAAAAAGAAATCCCTTTTCTGTGTTTGTCCTGGTTGAAAACCAAACACGGTAGTCATCTGAAGAAATTCCAGTGTTGGGAGTGTTGAGGCCAAGAAGGGAGGGTAAAAATGCAGGCAGCTCTGACCACGGGGGAAATCACCCCAGAGGCTCCTCAATGCCATTGTCCAACACTGTGCTCTGGAATGCTCACAGGTGTCCTTGCATCTCCCCTGATTCCAGCACACAGGACACTCTTTACTCTCCCGAATGTCATCTAGCAAGACCCGACCCTGTCTGGAACTGAGCATCCGGAACCACTTGTGTGCATCACATGCAATTTCCAGCTGTTGTGGGAAAGCAATGAATGAAGAGAAAGTACTAGACCCTGACAAGGCTTAGCATCTAGGGGAGGAGGGGGAGAAGTAGGGAGAAGATCCTAAAGGTCAAATGCAATGTCTCCCATTGTTCATGTACCTTTTCAAAAAGAGACAATTCCATTTGATCCACTAATACAGTGGTTCTCAACCTTCCTAATGCCGCGACCCTTTAATACAGTTCCTCATGTTGTGGTGACCCCCAATTTCATTGTTACAAATTGAACATAATTAAAGCATAGTGATTAATCACAAAAACAATATGTAATATATATGTGTTTTCCGATGGTCTTAGGTGACCCCTGTGAAAGGGTTGTTCGACCCCCAAAGAGGTCGGTTGCGACCCACAGGTTGAGAACCGCTGCACTAATATCTTTAGAAAACTTTGACCTTCTGCAAAAAAGAAGGAAACTAAAATTATAGCCTTGCCTGTAGCTTGGATGCTTTATAAACACGGCACCACAGTGAGGCAATCTAGATAGAGTGCCAAACCAAAGCAGAGCTAAGAGTGGGAATTTTATACCATTAACACAAAAGGTTAGGGGGCCAGGTTGAATTTGGACAAAATCACATAGGATCTTGAGTCCAGAGCATTTTCTAACAGTGAATTTCAATAAGAAGTTTTGGGAAATACCTCAGTCTTGTATTGGACTTTTTTTTTGAAGTCCTGTGAAAACAGAATCAGTTCCCCTGCTCTAATAATTTTTCTCACATCCCCTCCTGGACTATCCTACCTACACCAGTGCTCTACTCCTCTGTTAGAAAAAAATTAACCGTGTCATTTAAACACTTTAAAGGCTGTCCTACTATCTACTAAATCAAGTGCACATTCCTTTGCTTAGTTATTTAAAAAGCCTACATAATTTAGCCCCACCCCACATATGCACCAGTGCTCTCCCACACATACCCTTTCATTTAGTCAGGCTGGCCCTCTCACTGTCCCCAGATAGCTTACTCACTCCTGCCTTTGCATTTTAATATCAGTATTCTTCATCCTAAACCTGGAATCTAAATTTACTCTTCCTCTTTAACAATCCCCAAAATGCCCTACCTTTGGAATTTTTTTTAACTATTTCAATTTTCCCCTTTCCCATCTCCAAGTAATTATCAAGTCATAGATAGATAGACAAATAGAAAGAGGTAGATATTGTATATATAGAGATATAGCCTCCCCAACTATACTGTAAGCTACCACCATGTATATGAATTTTATGTTACAGTGTCCCATATAAATTGTGCTCAATAAATAATTAGTGATTAATTGCAGTCCTTCTTCTATGAGTTAAAGGCTAAACACACACACAAAATTAGTCTCATTCCCATGTGGGATTTCAAAACAACATGACTTGTAAGCATACTTGGTTCCTTTAAGTTTGGTAACACAGGGGAAAAAATGGAGAGAATGGCTGTGCCTAAGATAGTAAGGGAATGGATTCAAGATAGAATAAAATGCTTCCTCATTACTGACAATTTGAATGCTTATCTGAAAATTGGGCACCTCCAGGATGTTGCACTCTTCCTGGCATTCAAATACAGTTCACCAAAATATTAAATTATTTTGCCTTTAGGACTTTTCTTCTCATTCTCCTTTTCTTTGAGGGAGTGGGTGTAAATATGAGAAAGAGGTTGGAAAAGACCATATACTTCTTAAAATGGAGCATAGCAGACAATAGACCAAAGAAAAAGAGAGCAAAGAAATAATAGCCAGAAATAATTGATTTTTGACAAGCATGCCAAGACAATTCAATGGGGAAAGGGAGTCTTTTCAACATATGGTGCTGGAAAAAACAGATATTCCCACCCACAAAATAATGAAATTGGACCTATACCTTACACCATATACAAAAATTAACTCAGAATGATTCAAAGACCTAAACTTAAGAGCAAAAACTCTTAGAAGAAAACAAAGAAAAATCTTCATGACATTGGATTTGACAATGATTTCTAGAATATGACACCAAAAGCACAGACAACACCAGAAAAAATAGGTAATTTGGACTTCAAAATTAAAAACTTTTGTGCATCAAAGGACACTGTAAGAGAGTGAAAAGACAATCCACAGAATGCAAGAAAATATATGCAAATCATATATCTGATAAGGGATTAATATTCAGAACATAAAAAGAATTCCTATAACTTAAACAAAAACAAAAAGCACCCAAAAATCCCAATTCAAAAATGGATAACCAACTTGAATAGACATTTCTCCAAAAAAGATATGGTCAATAAGCACATTAAAAGATACTCAACATTATTAGTCATTAAGGAAATGCAAATGAAAACTACAATGACATACCACTTCTTGCCCATTAGGATGACTATTGTAAAAAAGGAAGAAAGCAAAGTGTTGGCGAGGATATAGAGAAATTGGAAACCTCCTTAGAATTGGAAGCTGGGCCCTGGCTGGGTGGCTCTGTTGATTGGAGCATTGTCCTGTGCATCAAAAGGTTGCAGGTTTGATTCCTGGTCAGGATGCAACCAATTGTTTTCTCTCTCTCTCTCTCTCTCTCTCTCTCTCGAGTTTCCTCAAAAAGTTAAAAATGGAACTCCCATTTGACCCAGTGATCCCACTTCTAGAAATATATCCCAAGAAAACAGAAACACCAATCAGAACGGATATATGCATCCCTATGTTCATAGCAGCACAATTTACAATAGCTAAGATTTGGAAACAGCCTAAGTGCCCATCAGCAGATGAGTGGATTAAAAAACAGTGGTACATCTACACAATGGAATACTATGCTGCTATAAAAAAGAAGGAACTTTTAACATTTGCAACAACATGGATGGAACTGGAGAGCGTTATGCTAAGCGAAATAAGCCAGTCGGAGAAAGATAAATATCACACGATCTCACTCATATGTGGGATATAATGATCAACATAATTTGATGAACAAGAATAGATCCAGAGACAAATGGTAGCGGGGGGAGAGGGGGTTAGAGAGCAACCAAAGAAGGTGTATGCATGCATATTAGCATAACCAATGGACACAGACACTAGGGCGGTGGGGGCTTGCCTGGGGTGGGAATGGCTAGGCGAGGGGTCAATTGGGGGAAAAGGAGACATATGTAAAACTTTAGATAATAAGAAAAATTAAAATTAAAAAAGGAAAAATTATTCAGCCTTAAAAAGGAGGGAAATTCTGATACATGCTGCAACGTGGATGAAACTTGAATACATTATACTAACTGAAATAAGCCACACACAAAACATCAAATTCTACTTATATGAGGTGCCTACAATAGGCAAATTCATAGACAGAAAGTAGAATGTTGGTTGCCAGGAGCTGGGGGATATTGAAATGGGGGGTTATTCTTTAATGGATATGGAATTTCTGTTTGGGATGACAAAAAACATTCTGGAAATAGCGGTAGTAGTATGATTGTATAACATTATTAATGTACCTAATTATACCACTGAATTATATACTTAAACATGGTTAAAATGTAAATTTTGTGATACAGATATTTTACCACAATAATTTAAAAAAAAGGAAATAGAATCTGAATCCAATCACGAGGAAATAATCAGATGAATCCAAATTGTGGGTCGTTCTCCAAAACAACTGATCTGCAGTCTTCACAAACGTCAAGATGAGGAAAGAACAAAAGTGGCGATTAGGGTACTATTATAGAGTAAAAGAGATTTAAGAGACAGGACACCCAAATACAGTGACTAATCTTTGATTTTATTTCAATTTTTAAAAAGGAGAAGAGTCTAGAGAGCATTGTTTTGTAGATAATTGGGAAAAGTGAATATGAACTGTATATCAATGTTCAATTTCTTCCAAGGTAGGAAATTACCACTCTGAGAAGATATATGTTGAAGTTTTTAGATATATGTAGACATTATACCTAATGTCTACAAATGACTTTCAAATAGGTTGGATAGGGTGGGAATGTATAATACAGAAAGATACAGTAAATAAATATAGCAATATTGATGAATGTAGGTGAAGAGTTTAAAGACATTGTACTAGTCTTTCTGTTCTTCTGTATTGGAAAATAAAAAGCTAGAGGAGAAAAATGGAATCGTCATTTTGGTTCCCAAGTGATCAGGGGAACACTGACTTCCTGTGACCTCTGTGAGCAAAATGTTGATCTGTTTGCCACCTTGGGACATCCTGTTTTACTGAACTCACACTCCAGGGTTGCCAGAAGGAGCTGAGAGCTGATTACTTGGAGGTGATTTGGGTGAGGCATATTGTCTATGCCACTTCAGGATCTACTGTGTTGTGTTCTTGTGTGTGTCAAAGTTTTAAGCCCCCCAAGGTTAGGGTCATGTCTCACTTTTCTTATAATCCTCCCTCCCCCAACATCCTAATCCCATGCTTTATACAGAGCTAAATACATAGTAAGTGTCCAGTAAATATTTTTCCATTACTGACTATCCCATCAGTATAGAAAGGCATGTATAGAAGTCTAAGAGGTCAAGGATGGGATCAAAAGGTTTATCTCCAACTAAGGTATTAAAATGCTCCGGGGTAGGGCCTTGCAGAAGGAATGTCAAGTGTGGGCTTTGACACAATCTAATTCTCTATGGCAACCAGGTGTTACTGACTTAGGTGGTGACTAGTACTGAGGGGTGGAGTAAAAGAAATACAGCTTTGGCAAAAGCTTATGAATACCTAAGCACAGAATGTTCCCAGCTTGGCCCTATGGTACAACTGCTCTCACAACCCTGTGAATTCTTCCCAAGGAAGCAAGGTCAAACAATGGTCTGTGGACCTCAAAAAAGAGAGCACCCATTTTGGCTCCTTGAGCAGGGTCACTATGCTTTGAGGGATCTGCACCACTTGGGATTCAGGGAGAACAACACCAGCCTTTACCAGAAGATGGAGGTGTGAACACTCTCCAGCACAGCTTTAGAAGGAAGGTGCTGCCCACGTGCTTAGCAAGTTGCAGAACACGTAGGCCTGCAGCATTCCACCTCCAGCTGAGACACCAGTGTGCTGCTGTGTTGCAGCTTGTTAAGGGAGTGTAGACTTGTCCTTCTTGTCTTGAGCAATTTTTCAAGAGGCTGGAAGAATTAATGGGCAAATTTGTTCTGTCTCAGACAGGCCTTCCAGGATGCAGGTCCTCAGCTCCATTGTTATATACAATGTGTTATTTCCTATTAAATCACTAGCATTGACGCTTAGTTTTAAATTCAATTTACTATTTTATTACATACCTTCTTGTACTGGTCTCAGATTATTTC